GAGTGTTGCTTCTACAGATGTGTTATTTGCTGTACCTCCCCCAATATACAGTCCAAATTGAGAAATTAGTGTATCTGGATTGTCAAACACTTGCTTGAAAACGTACGGCTCAGATGCTGGAAAACTTGTTGGTTCCAGCCAGAGGAAATGTATGAAACCAAGAAAGCTCAAGATTTTACTCTCTTCTTGTGATTTCTCCTATTTTATGTGAAGTTTTCACATTGCTGTTAGATTGCTGGTTTTCATCACCTCCTGTCAGTCATTCAGTCCTGTTACATTTAACTGCCTCGCCTCCACATCTTTACACCTTGGGTATTCCTTCTCTTCTCTTTACTGGCAGCCCCATCGCCACCTTCACGGCTGATCATCATACCATTTAAGATTCTAGTCTACTACTTTGTTTATTCCCGCAATCTGCACTGACCACAGATGTGGTGGTCCGTGATGTCCTTTCTTGTTACCAGATGCATCCATCTCAGCATCTGAAATTTCTTTAGTGTGCAGTTGTTGCTATCTGTATTTGTGCATTATATGTTCTGCTTTATTGTACCCTTTTTAAAAAAATAATTAAAGCAAGAATGTTCTGGCCTGTGATGAAACTAATTTTTTGAATTGTAGAAATTTGGCTACCACAAGTCATTTGGTAGTGAACTTTGTCATGCTTTTATTGATATTTTTGGCCTTTTATTGTACACCTTTCTCTGTGGTCACTGTGTATGCTGTCTGGGAGCACAAAGTTAGCAATGCACACTCCAATACGCAAGTAGTTTAATTAATTCTCCTTTTTTATCCTTTTGGCAGTCTGGAATTTGCTGCCTGAGTTGGTAGTGAAGACAGAGACACTAAACTCTCTTTAAAACCACCTCAATCTGCAGCTCAAGTTCTGAAAGCTGCAGGGCTGTTGGCCATGTGCAGGAAGATGGGATTATAAAAGACATCTGGGTGTCTTTGGATCAGCATGGACAAGATGGGCCAAATGGCCCCCTTCTGTTCTGCATCATTTCAGTGGTTCATTGTCAAAGAACAAACCTGCCCTGAGCTTCCAGCAAAACAAAGGGACGATTACGTTGCATCTGTTTAGCAGTCCTTTGGACCAACCAAGCAAATTATTTTAATGCAAGTAGTTTGGATTCCATTTCTCCTCTTCACGCAAAACATTGGTCAACTCTGAAGAGTTTAGATTGGTCATATTTGAAGCCCCTCACCAGCAAAAAAAAAATTTTGTTTCTCTGATCTTGTAGCTCAGTAACTAATCAGTTGGATTAAATTTTTCAAAGTCCAGAATGAATTGGTGATGAGTGGGGTATCTCTTCAGTTCTTACGACCATTCTGCCAAATTGTGGAAGCTGTCCTCATGCCATGAACAGTTTTTCTTAGATTTTGAATAGAAGAGGATTACCTTAGGCAGTTGTCGAATATTTTGTCTCCATGTTTATGAAGGAAACATTGAAAGTGAATTATTCATCTTGCAACAATCTCTACTAACTGGTTTGAATCTTGTTTGGCGTGTGCTGAACCTAGACTTTCTTGCAAGCTGAAATGTTGCTCACTGAAGAGTATTATTCTATTAGTGAAGAATCTTCACACTCAATCCTGTCTTTGCGGGCATCTACCTTGCCCTTCTGCTTACCAATAGAGTGTTCTCCATAATTCGAATTTTAGATGTTGACCGTTTAAACTTTTTGTGACCGTGTGACCTGAATCCTATCCAAACAGAGCTTTGCAAATAGTGTGCTTCAGCTCTTTAAAGTGTCCCTGGTCTGGTTGGGACCAAGAACTAATATATGGAAGGCTTTGCAAATTGGGTAGCGGCCTGAATTGTTCCCACTAAGCACTGCTGTCTTTCAATGCGTTAGTTAATCTCCTTATATGCAGGGCTTTGTACCTTCAAATTCTTAGAATCACCTTAGTAACAACACAGCTGTTACTCTTGTAATACTAGCGCTATATTTAAGGCGAATATTCTTGCCATAACATGTTATATTTTTCAGCAATACCCAACTATAGGTGCAGAACTCATACTATTTTTCAGTTCTTTCCTGAAATATGTTTGTTTTTAAAAATTTGGATGCAGGCCCTCAATAAATTCTAAGGTCTCTGGTAATTTGTCAAAATTGCTGATGGAGCTAGCATTATTACTCTGACAGAGGGCAAAGAATATCTAATATATAAATGCAGCTTTTATACATTGCTGTCATCTGATGCTGTAGTTTAACTCCATTAATGCATGTTTATTGTGTGCATGGAGCTGAACTAAAAAGCATATGGAAAACTATATCTCTAGAAAATTCATAATTTCAGCAATATGTTAATCTTGGCATTCAAATAAGTTTGACACAGGATGAGTAGAGTTTTAGCAAACAGGCTCGAGTTCCAATAACAGGAGGCATTGTCCCTTTCATTGAGCTGCTGTGCTCTCTCAGAAAAGCACATGTTTCTGGTTACTGGGGAGTGATCTGAGTTGTGCTTCTGTCTGTTAACTATTGATGACAATTTTTTATTTTGCTAATATTATTAAATTCCATCAGTTTCATTTGCAAAATGTCACTGAGTTGTGAAATGTTTTAATGTTTTAAGCTGGAACCGAGCATTTGATGGAACAGAACTGTCCTAACTACTAGTCTTGAGCAATTTTCTAACCATCTTGTCAGGTTTTCTTATAGGCATCAAAAGTCAACTAACTGCGTTCTTCCTCATTCATCTATTTTCCATAAACTTCAGGATAGCCTTGTGGGTGATGACATCTCTGATAAACTTCCAAGAATGTTGCAATCTGTGAAAACTTGCAAAAATCTTCCTGATTCCCCTGCTGTTCTACATGAGTTGTTGTAAGATCAATTCTCTTTTTCTCCAGTCGACAGCATCTAACTTGTCGGTCTTTCTGTAGCACCAGTTTTGAAATATTATCTTGCAAGCGTATCGTTGTGAACAGCTTTTCTATAGCTTTTGACTCCTTTCAAAGTAAACTTTGAGTTGAGATGTATACGTCAGAAAATGGAAATGAAACAAAATCAGGAAAATTTAATTTTTCAACCACTTGTTGAGGATTCTTTGCCAATCACAACCCTTTAATGAGCCTTCATTGTCTTCCATCAAAAGACAGCATTAGACAGACATTGGGTATGCCACTACCTCTTCAAAATGTCACGCCATGAAGAAGTGGAAAACCAGATAACGTCACTTCATACCTATTGGAGCCTTGATCCTGGGAGTTTCTTTACAGCTAAATATGAATTGAAGCAAAAATACTTGAAGGAATTTGGCAATAAGAGTGAACAATTTTCTTGATCTTTGAAATCATCTGGAAGAAGAGCATTGGTTAAGATAGGATAGTTTAATTGGAGAGCAGATGTCATATCCTCAGGCACAATGGAGCTATACCACATCATTGACTCTGTGGCCCAGTTCTTAGTTTCCATGTTTTGCTGTGGAACCTAGCATAAGCTGGCATTGAAGATTTCAACATTGCAGCATCTGTCCATGTTTACTGGAACAAAGAATTTTTTTTTTTTTTTTTTTTTTTTTTTTGCATGGCTACAATATTTGAACACGAGATTTCATACTGATGGAGGAACCCCTGACCTTTGAATGGTGGTTGTGCTGACTGACAACCTGGATCAAGGCCATTGCGTTTGTTCTCGCTTCAATGGGTTTGGTTTTGGCCTTATTAGGGGATTTATATCTGTGCTTTTCACATTCACTGCATTACAGTGGATCTGTGGCAGCCTTCATCTTCTAAGACTGTTAACGCCATAGTGGTCATCTGTGTTATGGCAGCTGCACTTCTGAATCATGAGCAATGAACTTCCATCGCATTTTCAGGTGTACTGTTCCAGCTCCCAAAAACTGAATAAGAGAAATTCTCTATCTCTTTTTTTGTTCTGTGTATAGTTTTGAATTTATGACCTTTTTGGTTATTGATCCATTCAAGAAACAGATTAGTTCTTTCTCTCATACCATTAAATCTTTCAAGTGTGAGTATGTCCAGTGGATAATCATCTTACCTTTGTGCCAAGGGAAATAGGGCCAAAGTTCTAACTTCTCACAAATGGAGATCCTTTAACCCTGGTAAATCTGCATCTTTTCAATTATATTCTAGGCTCGGATAAAATTTATTTTATGGAGATCCCCCATTATTGAGAAGTAGAAAGAATTGAATGCTTGAAAACAGTTGGCTGTAATTTTAGGCAGTCTTTTCAAGTGAGGACAGGTGCACATCTGATTTATTCATCTTCAGCCATTGCTTCGAACTTTGCTATTAGGAGCATTGTCTGACAATCCAGGACTCCAGAGATGCACTTCAGAAATTCCTGTCATCTAGGTGGCATTCACGAGAAGCTTTTGAAGATTTTTGAAAATTATGTTGTATAAATGCTTGGTACTTGAAGAAAAGTCCGAAACTAAAAGTCATTCCATTGATATGTCTAACTTGTCGAATCAGAAAGGCTTTCTTTGGGTGTGCCTGTTGTTATATGTCTGCATCTAAGAACAAGAAAATATCAAGGTATGAGGAACTTAACTCGAGAACCTTAACAATGAACATTACTACGTTGCCTTTCTACCAGGAAGAATGGATAAACTATAAAGGTCCTAAGAGTTAAATAAACTTTGCAGTATACAGAGTCACCTTTTTTTAAGGCAAGAAAGATCAGCAATCTTTTTTTCTTTGAAATAACATTACATGCTTTAGATAGACCTTTTTAAGTTTCCACACGGTAAAATTCAGGTTGGTGACTTTTCCCCTTCAAGTGATATATAAAAGCATGGTGGCTCTGTGGTTAGCACTGCTGCCTTACAGCGCCAGCGACCCGGGTTCAATCCCACCTTCGAGTGACTGTGTCTGTGTGGAGTTTGCACATTTTCCCTGTCTGTGTGGGTTTCCTCCGGATACTCCAGTTTCCTCCCACAGTCCAAAGACGTGCAGGTTAGGTGGATTGCCCATACTAAATTGCCCATAGTGTTCAGGGACGTGTAGCTTAGGTGGGTTATGAGGGGATGGGTCTGGATGGGATGCTCCAAGGGTTGGTGTGGACTTTCTGGGATTCTGTGTGATCTCACTTACTTTTTTTCTTGAAGTTGTTCAGGACAATCTCCTATCATCTGATTGTGATGCAGAAGACAAGTCTGCATTAAAAAAAACTTTGAATTTGTGCTCTTGAAAAATGCTCTCTGCAGCTTTGGGTTCCTGGATTTGTTGAACTAGAATTTTTCATGAATGTTCGACATTCCTGTCTTTATTTATGGATATAACCTTGTTGTCCATACTGTACTGTAATGATAAAATGAGAAGAGCTAGATTTTTAGGACTTTATCACAACATCAATCTTTCTCAAATGTTTGCTAATTGAACCTTGGAAGTTGTCAATCGGAATGGAGGCCACTGTCTGGAACTAGCTTGTAGGAGTCCCTGCCTATGCAGTTTGGACTGGTTCTTTATGCTATCCTGGCCTCCAGAAATTATAGCTCCTTTTAAATGTCTAATCTCATTTGTCTTGAATTTCTGAAGAAGGGTCCTGACCCGAAACGTCAGCTTTCCTGCTCCTCTGCTGCTTGGCCTGCTGTGTTCCTCCAGCTCCACACTGTGTTACCCCCTTGATTCAATGAATGTTCATTTCTTGATAAATCCACCATATTGATTTGGTGTCCCTTTCTGGTTACTTCTGGGACAACTTTGGAAACCATATGGATCAGAGCAAAATTCCATCTTTCCAAAGAGCCTAACACTAATGTCCCTTCCACCATCATACAGTCAAACTGTTGATTTCAGCTCTGTAGACACCTTCAGAGCTTTCTGTAGGTCTTGATTTATTTGCTGCACTCTTCATTGGTGACAAAACTGGTGACTCATGAACGGGCTACCACAAGGTGAAACCTTCCTACACTAACTACTGCAGACATGTAACCTCATGCCAGGTGATGAATCTAATACCATGAAGCATTTACATTGAAGATGTTAACACAATTAGTTAATAAGATCATCTCCAATATCACCCTTTAAGAGGAGTCATTTTGAGCCTTGAGATATGTTTTGATTTACTACAGATTGTTCACTTTCATTTCCTAACAGTGTTTAAAGCATTTTCCTGAAAGACATGGAGAATAAATGAATGAGGAAGGAAGAAGATTAACTACCTTCGTTTGCTGTGGTGGTCTTGCCTTTTTTTTTTTGAATGTATGTTATCCTCCACATATCTCGCATATACCCACTTATCCCGCTGTTTCTAGCTCTCATTTGGAGTGTTTTGACATTTTACTAAATGTTGACAAAATTGTTTTCCTTTGCTGTGTAAGCATTACCTACCCTGCAGGCTGCCTCCATCGATAAAAGAACCGCGGACCGGTGTGTGGCCACGGCTCTTATACAGCTTAGGAGTGGGGAAAGATCATATGGCCCGTAAGAGACTTCAGTGAGGTTAGAACTCATGGAGGGAAACCGTCCAGGTAATTTCCCCTATTGGATGATGGGACTGTCCTGAGGTATGTGGAGGATAAGAAAGGGAGAGAGAGAAGGTAGGTAATCTTGCTGTACCCAGATTTCCTTGTAAATTCCCATAAAATATTTGTAGTGATATGGTACTAATAAAATTACTTTTTGTCCCTGATTTATAAAAGTACTGGGCAATCAGGATCGTACCAGTGGACTAGACAGCACAGAGCATAATTAGAAGAGTGCTCCCAAGCACTCTGTTTAAACCCTTGCTGAACAATGAAAGCCAAAAATTAGCCCTCTCCTCCCTTTTGATTAGAAGTCCTATATGGCTTGTCTGCCAAGGGTGTTACTTAAATGTGAAAGAGAGAATTCCACCTTCACTGCCTGGCTTTGTAACCATCTCTTGAAATCTCAAAAATGCCACTTTGCTCAGATGACAAGAAATCTGTGTTGGGAAATCTATCTGGAATTTGCTTTTCAGTTAAACCCTAACTGTTCACTCAAATTAGTGTTTCTGGTGTACTGTGGGAATTGGTGTAGCATACCAGTGATGAGAGCTTCCACTATACTTTCACCAATAAACTTTCCCTGCAAATGTGAAATTACTTGTGGTGTAAAGTATTGTCACTGGCTGCTGCAATCTGGTTGTGTGAATACCTGCTGTTTTGTTTCTCTTCCTCCCAACTCCGGCACCCAGAGATTCTTGACAGTGTTACCAGTTCCCACTGAATAAATTAGGGAAAGGTAGGTGTAGTATTTATTAAGATTATCTTCTGTCCTCCAAGACCTGGCTTTATGCCTGGCTGAAGAAAGGTGGAGGTGAAGGCCTCTTCTATTTCCAAGGGCTTTTGAGGACACAGTTACACAGTTCACCGTTGTTTAAAAACTGTCTCTATCCAATTCCCCAACTGACAAGGATTAAATAACTCTTCCCCAAGTTCAGAATAAACGAGGTACTTATTCTACAATCTAGCTTTGAGGGATCACAAGCACTGTAAGTATGGCAAGCAGAAGTTGCTGGCTTGATGAGCAATGGTTTGAATTTGGATTCAGGTGGGTTGGGGTATTGCAGGAGGCTGGAGAGCTCTGCATTGTATCTGAATAGTTCCAAATCTGACCTTGAGTTCTTCATGCTGTCAATTGGATGCAAAATGACAAATGTTCAGTTTCCCAGCACTGCCCTCCTTCCTGTTCAAAAAAAAAATCAAAGACTTGCTGCAGTGTCCAACTTGGTATAAATGTAAGTTTTCTTTCCGCCCGGCAGTGCACGAATGGTCACTTGATGTGTGCAGGCTGTTTCATTCACCTGCTGGCTGATGCCAGGCTGAAGGAGGAACAGGCCACCTGCCCGAACTGCCGCTGTGAGATCAGCAAGAGCCTGTGCTGCAGGAACCTGGCCGTGGAAAAGGCGGTGAGCGAGCTTCCCAGCGAGTGCGGCTTCTGCCTGAAGCAGTTCCCACGCTCCATTCTCGAGAGACACCAGAAGGAGGACTGCCAGGACAGGTAATGCACTTAAACCTCAGAAACAGGCAGGTTATTAACCAAATCATGGCCCTATTGATCCTGATTTTTATTTACTGTGCATAGGGTAGGTGGGGACTGCAGGAAGTCGATTTTAGAGTGGCAGGAATGTCTTAACATGCACAAGCATTTTTTTGGGGCAAAGCAAAAAAAAAGTCTGGTAGTGGTAGTGACAGTGCCCACTTCCCTCTTCCTCCATTATTTTATGTGCACTGCGCAATAATAAATGACAAGTCCTAATACTTGGTAGAGCAACAACCAGTTTCATGCCCATAAAATATTGCAACAAGTCTGAAGAACACGGAACAGCAGGTGTTTCTGTTAGCCATGTGTTACTTGTCTTATTTTTGGAAAAAAGTCTCTTCTTTGTAAATTAGATTCATAGAATTTTACAGTCCTGAAGGAGGCCATTTGACCCATTATGTCTGTACCAGCTCCCTATCTCTGTAGCCTCTGAATTCATCTTTTCAAATATACGTCCAGCTCTCTTTTGAAACCTTCTCCACCACCTCCACTCTCCCAGGCAGTGGCATTCCAAATCCTAACGCATGAGTAAAGAGGTGTCTTCTCATCTCACTTCTAGCTCTCTTGTTGACAGTCTTGAAATTGTGACTCTTAGTTACTGACATACCAACTTGGGGAAACAGAATATCCTGCTTTACCCTGTCGAAATTACTGATATCTTCACTGGTAATTTTCATGATTTGACTTCTTGTGAATGTATCTTGTGTAATGTAGCTAAACAATCCATTGCCTTGCTGTCCATCCTCGGAAACTGATGGTGAGTGTGTTGGGCAACATTGTAAAGGCAACAGTTTAGGGTTTGACCAAAGTAGCAGGAAGCATTACTGCAGCACAAATTTATTAGTTGTTTCAATAGTACTATCTGGGAGAATTCAGTTGACAAATCATTGCCAGTTGTTTGAAACTAAACATATTTTAGCCTTTGCCTTGATTTCTTTCTAGCGTGCAGCACTAGCTTCATAGATTAATTTCACTTCCCTAATTTGATCATTTTGTTCAAAGTATTTTTAGAGTACAGCCAAGTATTTCTGAAACCATCTCACTTCAAAGCACCTTCTGCCCTGAAATTGAGAGCCAAATATTTTGGGGGAACAGGCCCTGATGCTGTGCAAAGTGTTGATTCTTTCACTTGGTACGCTGCTGTAATTGCTGCTTTATTTTGAAAGAAAGCAATTGCCCTGGAGATTTGCCAGGGAGCAGAGATTATTCCATGTATTTAAGAATTGATCCAGAATCTTGTACATTCTTTGTTCTCTAACCTCTATCAATGCTAATCTCTAGCAATGTGCTACAAATGCAGAGGTATCCTCGAGTCTTTTCCTTTTTTTCCTTCCTGGACAAGTACCTTGTCTTTTTTTTCGGGAATCTGCAAATCTGTTTGGCCGAACTGTATTTTGAACACATTTCTGATGCAATAGCTACTTGCGAGCCAGAGCCTCTTGTAAACGAACAAATCCCCCACCAGTCAGGACTGGCACATATTCTGAGGTTACACAAGAGTGGGGAAAGGAAATAATGAAGAATCCCAACAACTGTTTTATCTCCTGTCTTCCAACCTTGTATTTTGATCTTGCTCAATTAAGTGTCATAGTATGTAGTAGGAAACTTTGAATTCTTAACTGGCAGTCAGTTTAACTCCTAATTCGAAGCAAAACCTCAGAGCAAGGGTAGTTCAGTAGGCTATCCTTTGTTTTTTTTTTTCCTACCACTGACAGCAAAAGTGGTGTGTTCTGGACACATTTTGCCATTCAATTCTCAACTCTACTTTCTAAGTTAATATTCAGAGGAATCCTTACAATTTGCCATCACACCTTAGGCCCCAGCACCTGCAATTTTTAGTAACTGTTTGAAAGTGTGATAAGGCTAATTATTTTTCATGGTTTTCCTTCATTTGGAGACTCTTGGTGCCTGACCTTGTATTTTCTCTCCCATTTGTGCTGTTCAAGATTTGTCTTGAGCCTTGGATCTTTCCTTGTGATTGGCACTGCATCTTTCTGAAATTGCCTTTTGAGGACAGCATTGGAAGTTCCCTTATTTGGTTGAGATGTTTATTTGTGTGACTTAGATGTGAGCGATCCTTTACCACTGTTCAAAAAACAGCTGGTTCGTTTGTTGTCCCACCCAACTTTGTTCATTCACCCGTGTTGCTATAAGCTTTTGAATCACTTTGTCTGGTTCAAGGCTATTCTGACACACAAAAATGGATAGCTAAAGTTTTCTAACCAGGATTTTCTCCTGTTTCTATAAGGGTGCTGTCTTTAGCTCTCAAGTAGAAATTGTTCTGAGGGCATGGATTTCTCATGGGAGCACAAAAGGACTGACAAATTGAACAACATTCTATATTGTTGGAAATGTCAGAATCTGTGAGCTTCAATGTCTTTCAGACTCCACTGACAGCCTCATTAATTGAGGCAGTGTGTAACAAAATCAGTTTGGGAGTGGGATTGTCCATATTGTCACGAGGGAGAAATGATCCAGGGCTCCCATCCCTAGTCCCAGTCCACTGCTAGGAAGTATTTGCATATATGGGCATTTTGGGTATAATCTGACTTGACTTTATCAATCTTTGAATGGCTGTTTAGGTTCTTGCCAAAGGAATCATACTTGCAAGAGAAATTGATGTATTTACGAAGAGAGAAAGTTAACAAAAATAAGTACTTTCTGCAGTACTATTCAAAACAAATATTAAATCTACAAGACTGGCAACACTTGACCATTGCCCCAGTGTTACATCCTCAAATGCTGATTTTGACCTTGATTTTTCTTTGGAAAAACTTAGAGATTCCTGTAGCTAGGTGTAGGAACATGGGAATTGCTAGATTACTTCATCTGTTTCACTTTTGATTACCCTAGTAGTCACATGATACAATGAAAATAAAATTGCTCACTAACTTAACAGGAGTGTGGGTACCAACTGAGTACAACAGAGGGATACCAAGGGGCAAAGAACATTGGGAGAGATGGATAGTACTAGGGCAGAAAATGGTAAGGGATTAGAGGGAAATAAGAGTCTGAATTAGTGTTATAGTGAACATACATGCATGCTGAGAGAAATAAATAAGATTAATGACTTGCAGATGCAGATAACTATGTGGAAATATGATGCTGAGGTGATAAGAAACCTAACTCCAAGAAGAGGAGGACAACATATAAATATTCCTAGGTACGTTGTGTTCAGGAAAGGGGGAGATGTAGAAGTGTTAAACATTTTGGTGCTGGAGAACAGATGTCCCAAAGGAATCAAAAACAATCTATTTGGTTAGAGCTAAGGAACAAAAAAAAGTGCAACTGCACTGCTTGGTGTAGTCTTCAGGCCATCAATAAGTGGGAAAGATGGAGAGAAATAAATTTACAATGAAATTAGAAGTGCACTAACTATGGAGTAGTTGTAATGGGTAACTAACTCTCTGAATATTGCCTTGGACAGTGGTAATGTCAAGGGTAGGGAGGGGCAAGCATGTACAGTTTACAGTATTCAGAAGAATGATCCACATTGATATGTTTCCAGTTCTTGAGGAAGTGCTATTTTAGAAATGACGTGGATCAGGTGTTAGTAGGGAACATTTAGAGGACAGTGATTTTAATCATAAGGCTTAGATTTATGGAAAAAGACCTCTTAACTGTGAGGTAGGGTAAAAAGGCATCTGGTCCAGTTGAATTGGAATAAAGAGGAGCAGGCAAAATTGCAACTGAAAAATGGGCTACCTTTAAAGAGGAGAATTGAAGTACAGTCAAAGTATATTTTCATAAAAGGAAAAGTTAGAGCAACCATATGCAGAGCTGCCTGGTGTCTGGTGATTTTAGTTAGATGGAGCAGAAAAATTGTGTTTAGGAGTGATGTCAGGTGGAAAATAGAGGCTGAATATAGAAGCTGTGGAAGATGGGTGATAAGCAAATAATAAAAGCAAAGAAAGCGTATGAGCATAAACTGATCACTAATTCAGGGAAATCCAAAAGCCGCCCATCGGCCTATAATTAGTAAAAGGCTAGTAATGGGAGGCGGAACCAATTATCGACCAAAAATAGGATTTATGTATATTGGCAGGGGCCAAGGCTTCTATGTTGTCTCTCTCTTCCATAACTAAGGTATGAAATGAATGTTTTGCATTTGTCTTTACCAAGGACGAGTTGTTGCACAGGTAATAGTGAAAGAGGAGCTAATCCAGAAACTTGAAACGGATAAAAGTGTTTAGTTAATATAGAAGCATGTGATAAACATGTATCATATTAATTTTGGAATTTGGATCTTTTAAAAATAGCAACAGATGGATTTCACTTAGTCCTGTGAAGGTTTATTTTTAAAAAAGGTCAGTCATTTGAACAGTGACCTAAAATACATCAATTCCAAGAAAGCATGTGAATGCATGTGACTGGCACAAACTCCTAAAATGATGATACTATTGAATTTGTAATAGAGTAAACACAAGGAGGCCATTAATTTGTTTTTGACTTCAGAACAGAAGGTTTAAAACTTTAATTCAGAAGGATCAGCTGTTGAGTTCTGAAGCAGCCAAGCAGCAGAATCTGGTTTTAGTTGCCGAGAACTAGTCACTTTTTATTCACTCGTGGGCAGGGACTTCGTTGGCTGGGCCAGCATTTATTGCCCACCCCTGGTTGCCCTTTAAAAGGTGATGGTGAGCTATCTTCTTGAGTCATTGCAGTCCTTGTCCTATAGGTAGATCCACATTGTCGTTAGGAAGGGAATTCCAGGATTTTGTCCCCCAGTGACACTGAGGGACTGGTGATGTATTTCCATGTCAGGGTAATGAGCAGCTTGGAGGGAACTTGCCGGTGGAGGTGTTCCCATGTATTTGCTGCCCTTGTTCTCCTAGGTGGAAGTGGTCATGGGTTTGGAAGTTGCTGTCTGGGGATCTTTGGTGAGTTCCTGCATTGCATCTTGCAGAGAGCACACGTTGTTGCTACTGAGCATTGTTGGTGGAGAGAGTGGATGCTTGTGA